CTTGCAGAAATGTGAAATACATATCCATCCATTTTGGGGCTGAGGAAGCTCAGTGGTAGAGTCCTTGCCTAGCATGTGTAAGAAAGATGCTGGGTTTGATCCTCAGCACTGGAAAATTAAGTCACACAGTCTGTAGTCCTTTATGATGTCTGCAGAGGACACTGGTAATAGTCTTTCTGTTACATTGCAATGAATTGGCATGTTTGGCTTCTTTGAGAGCAGAAACAGCTCCATGTGGTGCTGTGGGACGTGGGATTCTAAAAGGGCGCCTAAGCCCTGGAACCAAGTATGTGGTATCAGCTCATGTCTACCATTACGTTAGCTTGTGCTGCAATCAGGATCTTAGAAGATATAATACAGGCTATAAATCAAATTAATCAAGATGGAGATTAATATATTATGTAATATAATAGGTATGGGATTGCGAGATTATAGGCATGTATTTTTATATGTGTAAGAAAACTGTCATACTTGTTAAAAGCAAGGTTTTACATTTTCTTAAGGTAGGAAGAGAAATATGCTTCAGGGTGACAGCAGGCCACTGAAGCCAGAGAGCGCACAGTGGCCTGCCAAACTGTTCTGTAGCGTGGTTGTCCCACTTTTATTTCCAGCAGCAATTAATAAGAGCACTAGTTAATCCCCACCTCGAAATACTTGCTACTGTCAGCCCTTGAAACTTAGCCACTTGCCATCCATTTCTCCTTGAGTACCTCTCTGTGACTGGCAGGATAGATTACTTATCTCACACCATCACCCTGAATGTTCTTCCAGCTACATGTTGTTTTTCTCAATGTCACCTGTGCTTCAGGCCACAGTTTCGTAAGCATTTCCTAACAGCTGGCTGGAAGCAGAAAGGCAGAAATGGAGGGATGTGGCCGGGAAGAGCTGCTCCTCTCACTGCAGCCAGAATGAGAGAGAATGAAGGAGCCAGAAAGGAAGGGGCCAGGATCACATGTAATGTTCAAAGCCATGCTCCTACTGACCTGGTGTATCCAATTCACACCTCCCCTAGCGAACCCACTCAGCTTCCGAACTTATCTATACACTGATCCACATGAAGTCAGAGCCTTCATGATCCCAGTCACGTTTCCAAAAGCTCCACCCTCTGCTGAACACCTGTGCCTTTGGGGGACATCTTAGGGGAGTGATGGCAAATAGCTTAGAGACCAGTGCCCCACTGCAACCCCAGGCCACTGATGTATTGCAAAGTGCCAACAGTGCAATTAAACCTGAATGCTATGGTTTTAATTTGAGAAAATCACCTCATGTGTTAATATCTTTTGCTTAAAAGAAAAACAGAACCTGTGCTATGTGTTGACCACCGTTTTAGACCTATCTGTAACAGCATTCTTAGGCCAAGCAGGGATTTGTAGGGGACAGATGTACCTAGAGTAGTGGGATTATACTAGAGTGTGTTAGTGAGGGAAATAAGAAAGAATAGAAAAGATTTGAATTTACAGGCCACAGTTGATGCTTCAGTAGGAGAGTGAACCAGCTGTTAGGAAGGTAATGGGGCAGCGGTATGTAGGAAGACTTCTGTGGAAAAACTGGGGAAAGAAGCCCAGTCCTCCCACAGTTTTGAAAGCCTGGTGCAGTTAGGTTACAGGAATGGACAGAATGACACAGCTGAGAGACCTTAGAATCGACGTGGTTTGAGGAGATGCTGTGTTGAATGTGAGGACCACAGAGCAGGGCTGGGAGACTTTGGGGGAGTCAGTCAGAGAAAGGAGTGAGCCGAGGGGAGCCAGTTTACAGGAGTTGTGTAGACTGCATTTGGACATGGCAGCCAGGAGTTCAGGGAAGCAGTAGGAAGTAGATGAAGGAGCCCCCCGCAGGGAGGGCTGTGAAGCCCAGGGCAGGGCAGGGTGGAGGGAGACCTGAAGGGCCTGGCCCTGGCTGTGGTGTGAGGAGGAATATTTAGGTTGCAGGGAGAAGCCCCAGAAAGGAAGGTTTCCTGTGGACTTAGATGATGTGAAAGCATGAAACTACCTCTGAGTTTGAACAAGGGATGCAGACCTATTTTTTTCTGCTTCCCTGGTTTAAGGAATGAGAAACAGGGGATGAGGCAGGAAAAGACATCACACACATTTCAGCTGCTTCCAGGAGTTGAAAATGAGACAATAGGTTAAAGTGGAATAAATGAAAGCTGTTCAGGATAATTAAGAGGGCATAACACGGAACTGGTAAGGAGGGAGACGTGGAAGGGTGCTGGAGACTCCACAGGACCATCTGTGGAGATGCTTGAGAGTGACAGTTGTGTGGCTGCCTCTGCTTCACTAGTCACCTGTGTGGGAGGTGTTTCCGCCCCTCATGAAGAGGCTAAGAAGTCTCTCACTTTAAGTCACCTTCTTTCCCAGAGGAAGACAAGCAGTTCCTTCCAGCAGGTTCCTCCCAGCTGCCCTCACTGTGGCAGTGGAGGTGCAAATGGATTTAGCTAATTCTCTGATCTCTGCATCCATACCTACAGATTTCAAACTGGGCTTCCTTTGACTCCTCAGTGACCCATTTTTTCTTTTATCTGTAAGGAAGACACTGTCTAATGCAGTGTTAACATGAAGCAGCATATCGATGTCTGATATATAGTTTTATTATAAATATAGAGAAAATTTTACATATCATTGGAAGGGGCTTTAGCCAGGCAAATTTAAATAATCCAGCACAGCTTGGAGGAGGGAAAGTGCAAACAGTCAGTGTCAGGGCTAGAAATCCCTGGAAGAGGTACCTGAGTAGGAGAACTCCCAGTGAATTCTATTAGAGGAGACCTGTTAGGCATAGCATGCGATCCAGAAGTGAATATCAAATAAAACCTTCCCCTTACAGCCCCAAAGATGTTTTCTCTGTGTAGTAGCAAATGGCTTCTTGCGAAATACATTTGTCTTCCTTCTCTTTTCCCTTTTTATTCTGAGTCCTGTTGGGACTCATAGATCCCATGGGAGAAAAGGAAAGTTTCAGAGCCCAATCAGAAACCCCAGGGTGGGTAACCCTCATGCGCTTATGGCCTTTTGCGGCCCTCAATCCTAAGGGCATCAGCACCAGGGGAGTTTCCCAGGTTTTAAACAGAGCCATCAGCAGGAGCCTATGGTTCCCTTTAGGGAGCTTTGCAGAGCTCAAACACACCATTGCAGAGGCCAAGGTGCCCTGAGACATTAGGGCTGACAGCTAGAAAATGCACAAGCAACAATAAGGATCAGAAATGCAGCTGGTCTGAAGTGGCTTCAAAGTGAGCCAAGTCCATTTTGGCGTGAATGAGCAAAACCTCTTCTTATTTTTCCTTGGAGTCTTTGACAAAAAAACTTGAGAGGCTCCTGGCCAAGGGGACCTGAGTAGTTTTGGTGGCTTCCTACATACCAGTGTGGTAAGATGAGCTTATACAGCTAATTAAAAATAACCTTTTTTGTAGAAGTAAGCAGTTACAAAATTTAAAATGGTAAAATGTCTCAGAAAAGGGGGAAAATTACATGTCTCCAGTTGTGCATTCTTTACCAATAATTTTAAACACTGAGTGAAGGACAACTCTGTTTTTTTCCTGAGTTTCCAGAAGACTGCATGTCTCAAAGTGAATTGCTCTGTGTAATGGATAAAGAACTGGTGTTCAACTTAACACCAACTGAATTAAGTCAGCATGCTTCTGCGTGTAGATGGCCCACCTGAGGAGAGTTACCAGCAGAAATAGATATGTGGAGAAGAAAAGTGTGGTGTTGTGGGTTCTCCTAAGTGTTACTTTCTGAGCCAGTGGTTCTCCTGGAGGAGCTTATCATGAAATAGCTTCCCCAATATGAGTTCAACCATTACCATCAGAGGAGCTCCAGAGTTTGTTGGTGAGAGTTGCTGAGGTTCACTTTGGGGGAGGTCTGGTTCTTACATGGAGCATGGCTTCCTGGCTTCAGAGGGGAAGATGTGTGGTGTTTAATCTCCAGGAGAAACTTGTCATGCTTGGCTTTCTGGCATGCACTTGACTGTTTTTCTTGGCAGAGGAGCTCAGAACCGCAGTGTCACTGAGGAAGGCTGTAGTGCTTTTCAGGGCAGCCCTGGGCCTTGTTTTGAGTGTGGCATCTCAGCTCCAGAATAGAACCCTCAATCTACCAACACAGCTCATTCACCCTGCTGACATAGACCATTCTAGATTCCAACCTGGACCACTGGGCCTATCCAGCACAGATCTGTGACACAGACTGGCATTGAATAACTTTCTCCAGGGCTCTAGACTTCCAGTTAGACTCGTGGGAGGCATTGTCATGGGCTCCAGGTCTTCAGCTGGTGGCATGCAGGACTTCGCTGTAGAATCCAGGCCCTTGCCTGAATATTCTTGGTCTTTAGTGTTGTGGACACATTTCCTGCACTTTTTTGTGTTTAATTCTGGGTGACTGTCATAAATAATATTATCAATACAGTGTCCTGACTCTTTACTCTCCTCTCAGTCCGTCACTACAACACTCCAAACCCTCAGAGGTATTAAAGATTTATGTGCACTTTTGCACTTCCCATTCGGAGTTACCTGTGAGGCTTTGCAAGTCATTTCCCCAGATGTTTTTAGTGAATTCTCTCGAGACAGGCTTGTCAAAGTGCTTAGGTGGTATTCTAGCAAAACAGCAAGATGTTTTAGACCCCGTGCCAGGAGATAAAGCATAGAATTTCCAAGGACACTACTGGTTGCTTATCTGACTTTCTTGAGCATGGTAGGTTCACATGAAAATTTGCAGACAAAGGCAAAGCCATTATTGATTTTACTTTCTACCTCCCCCACCATCCTTTTTCTGTTTTTTTCCTGGCACATACAATTAAGTAGAAAAGAAATAACCCTCAAATGATGGCAAGTTCAATTACACTCTGATAGGATAGAAGTGGGATGGAAGGAAATGAGTATACTCTGATTAAAAAACTTTAAAACAAACCTAGACTGGGAGAAGAGAGTAGCAGGGAACTTCTGACAACTGTCTCCCAAAATTAGCTTTGCCATCTTTCAATGACAAAGAAGTAGGGTTTCCAACAGACTCCCCGATGTACCTTTTTATTTATTGACATTGGAGGAAGGCCTTGCAGCCTGGAGGTGCTGCATGTGGGATGACAGAGTAGGGGGCTGATTTTCTTTTTCCTCCAAGTGTAAAGAAATCTCCAGGAAGGCCATGGAGTAGGTCAGCAGTGCTGTGACAGGATAGGTTGCATCACTTGTTTTTCACTTCTGAATAAACTATTTCTGATACTGTAGAGACCAGGGAGTGTGAAGTTGATTGCTTTGGTTGCAGGTTATTGAAGTTCAGGGAAGAATATGCAATTTAATCCACCTGTAACGTAAAAGTAGCCTCTATTAAATTACTATCATAGAACTTCATTGTGGCTGTCACCTCAATGTCCAAACATTTAGCTTTGGAAAAGGGCTGATCTCTGCTTGCTGACATGGTGCTGAATGGTCCTTTGAAGGGATAAATTATGGTGATGCTGTGATACAGTGGAATATGATAATAGCAGTGAGGAGGAACAAACCACAGACATATGCAACATGGGCAAATCTCATAAAACAACACTAACTGAAAGAACACAGGTGCCTACAAGGGTGTGCTGTTAGGATCAAGGTCATGATTATTAGTAGACACTACGAAGATTCTTTTTTGTGGGTAGACATATAGTGTCTTGATTGGGGTGATGTTTTCATGCGTGTGTTCATCTTGTGAAAGTTCACACCCTGTAACCTCATTCTTAGGTGAACATTTTTTTAGTATATGTGTATATTGCACTGAAAGCTTCAGTTGAAAAAAATCCTATAAAATTGTTATAAAATAAAGTAACCAGGTCCCGTAGAATATAACATTTCCTTTGACAGTAACAGCAGGATCAAACTTTAGGTAGATAAAGGAGGAGGAAGTGGTGACTTTCTTGTTTGGGGCATGGTACTAGCTGTTTTACGAGTTATTGCATGTCAGCACTTCAATTTCCTTGTGAACAAACCTGTAGACTAAAGAGATGATGTTATGTGTCAAGGGTCAAAGAATTACTGGTCTTCACTGCTAAGCGTTACACACAGCCAAGGTGGGGATAGTTCCAATGTTGCTGTGAAGTGGACTCATGGAAGAGATTAACCAATCATTTTAGTGCTCTATTGAGGAATTTAGGCCCAACTTCAACTTGTATCTGTGTCTTCAGAAACAACCCATTCTCCCCAGGAAAATTTCCACGAGAAAATGAGCCAGTGAGCCTGGCTGTGATTACCTTGTCAGGGGAGTTATCAGAGAGGCCCGGACCTGGGGAAGCAAAAGCAGAGTTACTACACCATGGAAGTGCAAAGCTGATTTAAGGCCTTATGATTTAGCTGCAGGAGATAGCAGATTGTGGCTGTACTTGCTTCCCTTAGAATCTGTGGCCCAGACTGAGGGCATTAGACACAGATGAGTGGTGGGGAGTAGAGACACGGGAGACCTCCAGTCACCTCTGATCATTTCTACTGGTTTGCAAGGCCTAGATCCCCTTCCCCACCATGTGTTTCTTAGCAACATGCTTTAATGGCAAGAAGGGGCAGTGAGGGCCCATAGCACCAGAGCACCCAGGAACAGAGGAAAGTTACAGTGAGGAAGTGCCCGCATCCATCATAGAGACAAAGGAGAAGGAGTAATGTGAAGAAATGGCTCCTGGAGCCTGCCTAGCTCAGGGGAGTGAGCTTCTCTCCTGGCTGTGTCTCAGGGGACTCTTTTGACTAGGAAGGTTTTCAGGACTTGTGTCATCTTAGGGCTGGGAAGTGCAGCACAATTGAGACTGGGCAGTGTAGTTGGTGAATCTAGGGTTCTCTGCGAGGGCAGGGCACATGGTCGAACATACTCATTCTGACAGGGTGAGTGGCTTTACTTACTGCGATGGTAGACTTGAGGGTTTGTGCTCTGTGAGATCATACTGGTGGGTTTCCCTAAAAAGATATCAGACAGTGTGACTGCTATTCCCATGTGCAGGGCCTTTGGTCCCTGGCTTAGCAAGGACACTGTCAACAGATAATTCCTTGACACTCCCTGATGTCAATTCATTTTACAGTTGGCGTTGTCTTTCCTCTTAGTCCTCATTCTTCATGCTCACCATAATTCCTGCTTCCTCCCTTCCTGTTTCCAGATGTCTAGTTTTTAGCTCTTTTTTTCCCGTTGCTGGAGTCAAACCCAGGGCAAATGCTGCTGCTGAGCTATATCCCAAACCTTGTGGATTTAGTCTTTGTTGACCCTTCTGTGCCTCCCTTATATATGTGCCTCTCCTATTTTGTTTTGCATAGGAAGAGTTTGTTTCTTCCCCCTTACGTTATTTACTGTTCAAAAGGATTTTGCTTTTTTATATTTTCTCTTGAATTGCCTTGCTCCCTCATCCTGCTACTGTGACCAACAGAGTAAATTACTTACTGGCTGTGGGGGCTGTTCAGGCTGTGGGGGCTGTTCAGGCTGTGGGGGCTGTTCAGGCTGTGGGGGCTGTTCAGGCTGTGGGGGCTGTTCAGGCTGTGGGGGCTGTTCAGGCTGTGGGGGCTCTGTTGGCCCTGTTGGCTCTGTCGGTTTAATTTCTGCAGGTGCTTCAACCTTGGGTTGCTCACTGGAGGGATGGAGAACATAACTGAATCTGTTTCTTGAACCATGGATGAGAAAAACCATAGCCAAGAGACAGTGGAATGGAATACAGGGAGCATGAGGACAGGAGCAGGACGAAGCAATGGAGTTAAGACTGAGCAGCAGGAGTTTAGGAATGTAAAGAGGAAGTCCAGACCCAAGTCGGAGGATAAAAGTGCTGCCCCCCCCCCCAAGCATGACAGAGAACATTGGAGGAAGAAGTGGAAAGGGCATCATACCCGCCAGTCTTTCTGTGAACCATTTTATATGCCAGGACACTCATCAGAATCACCACAGTTAGAATTAAAATCATCATGCCCATGCCGGTCACCAGCGAGGAGCCAGCTGGCTCTGGTGTTACTGCCTTACCTGCCATGGAAAGAAAAGAGAAAAGGCAATGAAAATGAAACTGCTTTCTAGTGGGATGCCTTGAGACACAATTCTTAACATGATGTAGCTCTGTTTATTCCTTTGACAAGTACACGTCTTACGGAATGTGTTGCAGTGAGGTGACTGGCAGGCCTTGTAATGCGCCCCCCTTACTGGTGCTTTATCTTCCCACAATTCTATCCTGGCCTTTGCAGGTGCCTGAAGGCTTTGGAAATGTGAGGAAGGCTGATTGTTATTTCTGTATGTTGTAACTTCCTATTGTTTGTGGTTCCATCTTTTGTCTGGGGTTCTGTTTGTGCTGGCCATGAATATGTGCCTATCAGCTCTCTTGTGGCAAGGGCTTACTTGACAGCAGGCGCAGGTTATTGCGCACTCAGAATTCATCACCTCCTTTTCATAGAGACCATGCTGCCCACCGCGGTTAACAGGGGCATAAAGACGCCCAGGTCTGCAGGACACAGCTTTCCTCTGCTGGGAGACTTTGCATCGAGAATTCTTCATCAGCCTTTCATCAGCCTTGTGCCATCTGTCTGAGATTTAAGTGCCCTGCAGTCCTAAGTTTCCGTTTACACACAGTTTCTGTTTACACAGTTGACTCTCCTGGAGCTCTAAAATCATATCACTTGTCTCATTTTATTTAAATCTCCGCCAGACACTTGTTTGGATGTCAGGGCATCTAGGTCAGGACCTGATACTAGAAAGCTGACGTAGAAGGATCACAAAGTCAAGTCTACCCTGGAAAATTTAGCAACTTAGTAATACTTATCTCCACAAAACAAAACAAAACCACCAAGAACAAAAACACGGCGAGCCAGCTCAGTGTAATGGCCCTGGGTGCAATCCTCAGTACTGCAAATCAGTCAGTTTTATCAAGGAGCTGAAAGACTAGTACCCAACAAAACTATACGATTTTGCTCAAAATATTAGAAAACACATAAATGGGAATTATTAGAAAGTACATAAAATGTTTTTTGGAAACAAGGTCTTGCTATGTAGTTTGGTTTGGACTCCTCTTCAATCCCCTCTGTAAGTGCTGGGACTACAGGTTTGTACCACCGTACCTTACCTATGCTTAGGTATTGGAAGACTTAATGTGATTAAGAGACAGTACTACCCCAAATGATCTATAGATTTAGTGCCAGTCCTGTCGAAAGTTCAGTGAAATTTTCAGATGGTCATCATGGTGCATCCTGTAAATCCAGCACTGTGGGAGGATGAGGCAGGATGATGACAAGTTTAAGCCCAGCACAGGCAATTGAGCAAATTAGTGAGACCCCAAGCACAAAAGGGGGTGGTGGTAGCAGTAGCTGGGAATGTAGCTAGTGTGAAGGCCTCAGTTTCAACCACCAGTAATACAACAACAACAACAAAAAAAAAACCCAGGGACAGGTTTTGCAGAAATAGAAAAATCCATTCTAAAATTCATATGTAATCTTAAGAGCCCCAGAATACCTAATACAATGGAAAATGAAGAATAAAATTGGAGTCACACAGCCTGATTTCAAAATTTAGTACAAAGCTTTGGTATCAAAACAGTATGCTCCTGGCATGAATAAAGATACATAATCAGTGAAACATATAAAAATCTGACAAACGAATGCTCCCATGAATGGCCAAATGATTTTAAACTATTTAAAAATGTTAATTGTCATGTAATAACACGTATGCATGGGGTACAATGTGGCATTGAATATTTTATATAGAATGTGTGACAACCAGATCAGGGCAATTGGCACCCATCACATCAGCCTTTATCATGCTTTGCATTGTGTACATTTAAAACTGTCGTTGCTACTTATTTTGAAATACAGAATTAAGCACTGACAGATATAGTTATCCTGCTGTGCTACAGAATGTTAGAAGTGATTCTTTGTATACAACAGGACTCCAGTGTGCAAAGTATTTTTGATGAGGATGCTCGTATTGTTACATGCAGAAAGAAGGTTTCTTTGACAAAGATGTTGAAAAACCTGAATCTCTATGCACATGAAAGAAGTTGAACCTTTACCTGACATTATATAGTAAAATTAATTCCAAATGGGCCAAATACCTAAATGTAACAGCTAAACTGTAAAATAGTTACCAGCAAATAGATAGAAAACCCCCGTTATGTTGGATTTGGCAATTTCTTGGCTCTGAAAACCAAAGCACACGCAACAACACTAAGAATAAAATAGGTAAGTTGGACCTCTTGAAAATTAAAAGGTTCTGTGTGTGAAAGGATGTTATCCACCTATGACCCAGAAATTCCTCTTCTGGATTTATGTACAAAGAATTTGAAATCATCTTTTGAAGAGGTGACTAAACTCCTATGTTAAACACGGCATTATTTACAAGACCAAGATATGGAAACTCAGTGTCCATCGTGGATGAACGGATAAAGACAACATGGTCTGTGTACACAGAGGAATACTGTTTAGCCTGGAAAGGAAGTCTCTTCTGTGATTTCGGCAGCATAGATAAACCTAGTTTAGTGAAATAATCCAGGAACAGGGAGAGAAATAGTGCATGATCTCACCCATATGTGGAATCTAAAAAACACCAAACTTGAACTAAAGAGGAGAGTGATGGCTTTGAGAGATGGGGCAGCAGGGGAGGAGGCGAATGGGAAGTTGGTCAAAGGGTTCAAAGTTTCAGCTGGACAAGAGGAACGTGTTTTGAGACCTATTGGACAGCGGGACGGTTACAGTATATGATAATGTATATTTCAAAGTACTAACAATATATTTCAAATATCTTACCATACAAATGATAGATAAGAGGGGTGATGGATAATTATCTCAGTTCAACCGTTTTATATCATAAACAAATATCAAACAACCACACTGTAAATATCACACAAATGTTTTTTCTACTACAATCAAGCTTGGTGGCACATGCCTGTCTCCCTAGCACTGGGGAGGCTGCAGCAGAGGATCACTGTGAGTTCAAGGCCAGCCTGGACTACGTAGTGAGACCCTGTCTCAAAATGCAAAATAGTAAAGCAAAACTATTAAAGTTTAACAAAAGCAAAAAGTCCCAAACAATCCATGTAAAAAACAGACTTGAGCAGCCATTTCTCTAAAGAAGATATAAAAATGGCCAGTAAGAATATAAAAAGATGTGGAATATCATTAGTTATTAGGGAGGGGCAAATCAAAACCACCTCACACCCAGTAGGATATCTACCATCAAAACACAAGTCTTTTTGAGGATGTAGAGAAATCGGGACTTGTGTGCATGTGGGTAGGTGGGAATGTGAAATGGGGCAGTCACTGTGGAACTCAGTATAGGGCTTCCTCAAAAGATACTGTTTCTTATTTTGTAATTCCACAGCTCAGTATCGACCTTACTGAAGTCAAGGGTTTGAACAGATATCTGCATATTTTTTCATGGACAGAATTATTAATCAACCAAACATGGAAACAATCCTAAAATCTATTGATGGATGAGTAAGTGACATGAAGTATACCCTATAAAGTGGTATATCCATACAATAGACTATCATGGTCTTAAAAAATAAAAATAAAGGAACAAAATGGATAGAGCCTTGAAGACATTATGCTAAGTGAACTAAATCAGACATGAATGAAGACATATTGCATAATCTCCTTTGTGTGAGAGGCTTAGAATACAAATAAATACAGAAAGAAGGGGGTTACTGGAGGCTGTGCAGTGGTGGAATGGGGTGTTATTGTATATTGGGTATAAAGTGTTAATGTGGTAAGATGAAAAAGTTCCAGAAATGGATAGTGGCAATGTTACATAACAATATGAATGTACCGAATGTCAAGGAACTGTGCATTTCAAAATGGTTAAAATAATAAGTCTTGTGTATATTTTACCACATAGCACAGGAAAGTTAACAGAAAATAGTTTTAAAATAATCTTGTGCAAGGTGACAATCAATGCCACACTTAGGATAAGAAACTCTGTATGGTTGGCTTCCTTGCATGCACGGATTTAAGCAAGTATTGAGGTTTAAAACTCTTCAGAAAAAAGAATGGGCCCACATTGGAAAATGTACAGACATTTTTCTCTTCATTATTCTTTAAAAGTGGAGCACAAGAATAATTTACCTTGCATTTGGTATTGGAAATAGTGTAGCCATGATTTAAAATATAGGAAAACTAAGTATGGTGGCTTATTCTGTAGACCTGGCACTCTGCGGAGCTGAGGCTAGAGAATCACAAGTGTGAGTACAGTCTTCCCAACTTGATAATCTAGAAAGACAGTCTCAAAATAAAAGAAGAAGAAATAGGCTGAGGATATACCTCAGCAGCACAATGCCTGCCTGTCAGGCATGAGATCTTGAGTTTGATTCCCTGTACCAAGGGGAAAAAAAGAGGGGATTAGGGATGTGGCTCAGTAGGAAGGTTCTAGTCTTAATCTCTAGTAGTACAAACAAACAATCAAAAATATGTGGGAGAATTCTCAGAGTCACATGTAAATGCCACCCCACTTTAACATAAGACATGAGAGTATCCACAAATGCTGGTGTCTGTGGGGCTAACTCCCTGTGAAGATTGAGGGGTGACTGTGGAGTCAGACCCAAAGATCATAACCACTTTGTGAGTCTCTTCACTATATTTGTGTCTCAACTGATACATTCCCTGTGGCTTTTATCCATCTTGCACATTATTGGGTGAGAAATTCTCCCCAGAAGAGGTAGGAGAGGAGAAGCCACTCACCAGTCACATATAACCTGATGGTGTCACTCCTGCTGGAATTGACACCATTGGAGACCTCACACTGATAATCCCCGGAATCCTCAACCTTGACAGGCTTGATGGTGATGGAACTGCCTTCTACGTTCGTCGTCATTCTGTCTGAGAGCCTCATATTGTGGCCTTCAAAGAACCATGAGATGGTTATTTCAACGTTTTTAGAGACACAGTTCAGGACCACAGAATCGTCTTCCATGAGAACGGTGTTGCTGGCGTGGATGGTGGGTTTCAACAAATTTGCTGTGGATAGAGGAGAGAATCAACTGAGCATGGGCCTCAGGCCAAGCTGTGCCCTTTCCTTGCATATTTAAACAAGAGCCACCGTGAGCTGTGTACGGTGACTCTGAGGACAGCCCTGACCCTCCACAGAGGTTGCATGCCTTGGCTCAGGTGACAGTAAGGATCGGCTATCCCTCCCTCTGAACCCAGCACACCCAGGGAGACCCATCTGTTTCCATCGACCTCTCTGAGGGATCCACATGAGGAACATGTTATTAGCCAATCTGTCCAAAAATATCATTGGAAGCTTGAATGTTTTTTCCCATTGACTTTTTTTCTTTTAATTTAAGAAAGTCAAAGTGAAAGGTGGGAGGGCACTGTCTCCGCAGAGCAAGCATGGACAGAGGAAAAGAGCAAACAACAAGATAAAAGATTATCCTGAGCAAGGTAGGGTGGGCTATCATCAGGAAAGCCTCAATAGACACCCATTTACATTTTCTTTCTTTGAGACAAGGTCTCACGATGTAGTTCAGTCTGGCCTTGAGCTCACTTTGTCACCCAGGCTGGTCTCCTACTTGCAACAGTGCTCTTGCCTCAGCCTCCCAACTGCTGGGTTTAAAGGCATGAGCCACCATGCTAAGCCTCCCACTGCCTTTTCCACAGTGTTTTGCAAGTTCTTTCTGTAACAGTAAAAGCTAAGTCACCTGTAGCCTGAAGAACATGTCACTTTTAAAGGACTTTGATTTCCTGACCAGTGGATTCAATGCCACAGTGAAGGAAATCAGCAGAGATAAATGGTCACAGTGTTCCCGAAAGACTGGCTTCATTCTCTCTGCAAACTTAGCCCTTTAGCCCTGCCCTTCCCTCCATGCAGGAGTTCACCGGGGAAGCACCACTCTCCACGGTGGATCACCTGCAGGTACATTCTCAGCCTCAGACACCTGGAACATCAGGGCCAGTACCCAGCTCAGAGGCATCTGCCACAGGTGCACTTTTTCATTTCATTGCCTGCTGGGAAGGCTCAGTGCCCATTGGGGACATGATTTAGCAGATTCAGGACAGTTCACCCAGACCTTCTGCACCTGTCCTGTTCCATCCCAGATCGAGTAAGGGCAGAGCCAGTTCCTATATAAGACTGGAACAGAGCTGGAACAGAGCTCTGAGCTGCTGTATTTGTTTAAGAGGGATTTCCTCCTCTGTTTTGGAGAAAAACAGTGCAAAGATGTATCAAAGCCCTGTGAGTTCCTTGTAGCTCACAGAAGAGGTAAAAAAGAGATGACAGAAGGGCTGACTTACTGAGGGAAAGAACGGATGTGACCTTAAAGATGTCCCCCATCCTAGTTTCTGTGTATCTCCAGCCACTCAGTGAGGCTTTGTGGGATTAGAAGAACAGTCTTTCTTTATTTCACACTGAACTCCAGCTCAGCCATGAGGAATTAGGAATCAAGGGGAGGACAGTCTTGAGGATGGGGCCAAATGCCCAGGGAGGATGAATATTTGCTTGTGTCTGGGGACACAGGCTAGGAAGTGACTTCTTTCCCATTATTTGAAAACTACCAAAACACTGCCCTAGGGTTGGTGCTATCACTCAAGAATGCACTTCCCAGTGACTGTAATATCCTTGAGAGCGCTCCTATTAAGGCCAGTGGCAGGGTTAGAGACGAGGCAGGTGTGAGATTCAATGTTATTTGCAGAGTTGTAAGGGACAGAAAGCTCCTAGGTGGATTGCAGGTGACTCTCATTGACAAGCGAGGAACACTGTGCAGGTGGGTTAGAGGCTGTGTGGCAGGAGAGCCTGAGGTTTGTCCTTGGATGGAAATGTAACTCTGGGGCAATATGATGGGGGCATCTGGGCCATTTGGGGTGAACAGAATAAAGCCACATGTGACATCATCAGAGGATTGGGGAAGCTTCTGGTATATAGAAGGCTGAGTGAGTATCCTTGTGAGCCATGTCACAACCTTGGTATGAAAACATCCCAACCAGATGAGGGGGTGCACCTCCATGGCTCAGCACCCACCTAGCATTCATCAGGCCCTGCTTCCATTCCCAGTACTATGTACACAGGAAAAAGTCTAGGTCATATCCCTCTGTGTGGGCTGAATCTGAGTCCTTCCCCTGTTGTTAGATAACAGGTAGAAGAGTGAATCCCTACAAGCAAGTTAAGCCCCTGTCCTCCTGTTGTGGGCTGAAGGTCAGACCAGCCTGGATGGCAGTGTCAGGATTGTTCGGCCAGCCCAAGTGTCCAAGAGAGCACACTGTTTGACCTGAACATCACGGAAATACATTAGAAGATACAACCACAATTACAAACACACTCAACCACCTTGTCTTTGACATAGAAGCCAAACATGTTCACTGGAAGAAAGAAAGCTCATTTATTAAGTGCTGCTGGAAAACCTCGCTTGCCATATGCTGAAAATTAAAACTAAACTTATGTTCATCACCATGCACTCAATTCAAGTCAAAATGGATCAAAGATCTAACTATTAAAACAGAAACACTAAATGTATTGGGAGACAAAGTTATCAGAAAGCTTGAAGACACAGGGGTCAGTAGAGAATTCACCAACAAAAACCACACTGCATATTTCTGGAAATATGTCCAAAAATCAACACCTGGGTCCTTGTCTTATTTAAGATTTGGCATATAGAAAGAAGTCTATAACATAGTGAAAAACAAGTTGGGAAGAAATCTTAGTCAACTGCACCTCAGATAAAGGACTTCTGTCTAGAACATATACAGAGTTTAAAAAATCAGACCCTCCAAATTGAAAAGCCCAATCCAAAAAGGGGCATCTGACATGAAAAACGTTCATCATCATCATAATGAAAATGTTCAGCATCATTGGTCATTAGAGAAATGCAAATTAAAACCACACTGAGATTCTGTCTTACTCCAGATAGAATGGCCAGGATCAAGAAAACAACCAATAACAAATGCCAGAGAGACTGTGGGCAAAAAGGAAGTCTCCTGCACTGTAGGTGGGAGTGCAGAGTGGTGTATCCACTGTGGATGTCAGACTGGAGGTTCCTCAAAAAGCTGGAACTGCAAGTCCCACTTGACTCAGCTATTCCACTTCTGGACATATTCCTAGAAAAAGTGAAAACATCATGCCACAGTGATACAAGTACACCCAGGTTCATAGTAGCACAATTTGTAACAGCCAAATCTTGGAAACAACCTCAATACCTGTCAGTTGAGGAATGGATAAAAAAAGATGTGGTATTTTTATACAGTGGAATACTACTGAGCTATAAAGAAGCATTACACTGAGGCTTTTATAGGTAAATGGATGCAACTTGAGACCACACTCATAAGTTTGAAATAAATCAAACTGACACGTGTAAATACCATGTCATCTTCTTAGTGTAAGAAACTGAGAAAGTACATAAGACAGACAGTCTTCAGTAAGTATAGTGAAAGGGTAAGAAACTGCTCAAAGGGGAACAAAGAACTCAGGGAAAAGGAGCTAAGGAAAGGCAAAAGAAAAAATATAAATTTGCATGTACAAATTTAAGATAGCTAAGATGGTTGTGCTATTAATTCAATTAGTTCTTGGGACAAAACAGTTAACATTCCTAGGATTAGATCAATGTTGCATGTTTACATCTGGTAACCTGAGGAACTCTTCTCAAGATAACTGTGTAAAACAACGTTCGCTATGTTCCCTCTACCTTGTATTGAAAGCCTATATTGTTATTGGTTTGGGCTCTTTGTTACTATTACATCTTTGTCTCTTTGTTTCCTGTTTTTCTCATAATTCGTTATGGTTTTTCCTGTATTACAGAAAGGATAGATGTACTTGTATGGGCATATACATGCGTAGAACTTCTCCTAAAGAGTCTACAAGAAATGATTTTATTACGTGTGATGGTATGGACAATTGCTTTGAAGAACAGGAGACGTTAAGGTAGCCATTGCGGATTTCCTATCGTTTTGTGGTGAAGGACAGTAATGCTTTTATTCTTTGCTTTGATTGTTTTTTAGCCTGTTTTCTATTATTTCATTTCGATACGGATGAAGGTACAGACAGCTATTTTGAAGAGAACAAGAGACATTACGATAGCCACAGTTGATTTTCCTATGTCTGACTTTGAAGGCCTGTAATGCATTCATTCTTTTGTTTTGATTGGTTTTACACTAATTTTGTTTCAATTCATCACGTTTGAAGACATGGACCACTATGTCTAAGAGAACAACAGACATTATGGTATCCACTGCTGATTTCCTGTTGTCTTGTTTTGAAATCGTGTGTTGCTTGCATTGTTTTCTTCTGATCTGCTTTGTTCTGTTCTGTTTTCCTTTGCTTTGCATTGTTTTATCCATACGAAAAATGAAGCCCATTTTCTGGACCTAAGAGAGAGAGTGGGCTGGCCTCTGCCTCTGACCCTGCTTACTGGGTGGTTAGCTGAGACCACTATAGTATACAAGTTACGCACAGGAAACATTCAGGGAGACTGAGTCACTTCATTTAGAGGTCACTGCATTCTCAGTTTCACACTCATAGGATCCTGTTTCATTCCCTGTGACAGTGAATAAAGTGAAACTCCTGATGCCATCAGACAGTTTCAGCCTATCATCATTTTGAAGGATCTGACCATTTATCCACCACAGGAAGGTTGTGTCCTGAGTCTTGGATTCACATGTCAGTGCTATGGCTTCCTCACCCTCCCCAGGGCTAGAGTTGTTGATTGTGATGTAGGGTTTGAGCAAGATCGCTGTGCAGAAAACAGAGAGATGATTGCCTCGTGTGGTACCTTTGGTCTCGGCAAAGGCATTTTCCACCAGAGTGGAGCTGTCTCACCTCTCAGTCAACTTGAGTCCTTAAAGGACCAGAAAAGAGTGCATTTTACAGGCAGGTGCATGAGGACCTGAGCACTCAGAGGACACGAGAACAACTACAGTTTGTCTGCAAAGAGCATAGGCCTTTTCATGTGGGAACCAAGCTGCAGTATTTAGTCATGGATAGACCCCAGGTGCCTCTCCTGTCCTCACTGCCAGCCACCTGGTTTGCCATGTGTCATGTATATGCTGAGCCCTCTAGCTGCACAGCCTTCCACTGCTCAGGTTCAGGTGTTTTCTCTCAGGCTGTGTCTTGCAAGGCTGTGCTTCAGATGAGTCATAATGGGATCTGCCACTGGGCTTAAACTTACAGAAGACCCCACAGCCCGGATGGAGGATGTTTGTGTGCAGAAATCACACACAAGGGGAGCAACACCAAGCCTGGTATTCAGCCCAGGGGTCAGCTTGAGCCCATAATGCAGAGAGATTCTCCCCAGGGGTTTCATGGTGACTGACAGGAACATGAGTCTAATAAATGATCTAGGACATTGGGAAGGGGACAAAGTTTAAAATGCTGAATCAAATTTTTGTTCTTGGTGTTTAATGTCCCTATTGCCACTGTAGGTGGTAGATGAAGACCCTAAGGGCTTTGACAGATTTAGTTAGCAATTTCAGACATTAAATTATGTCTCTGGGGATTTTTCATTTCTGTCCTTGGATCTAATTCCAATTACTTAAAGAAGTATTTCTCTAGGAGAACCATCGCAACTTAGGCCAAGCCCTGAAAACTTTTCGGGTCACATCTGAATAAAATAGTTCCTGAAATCAGTTTGCAACTAGCTGCTCCCTGCTGAGGAGCCCCGTGAGCCTGGTTGGGAGGACAGACCTCATCAGAGGGGAAGTTGGAGGCATCCCTACTGTAACATGAGGAATGATAGCAACTTCCAAGAAGTGGCACATCACTTTAGTAACACTGGAAGTCCACCTTCCCAGTTCCTTTTGGGAATGAGGCAAAGCAGGCAGGAGCCCAAGTAGGCATGTAAAATTTCCTGTCTTTTCTTTTGACCCCAGGAATCACCACTAGGGTTTTATTAAATTCTTCCAGATCAGACCAGACTAACTAAAAATACCATGGCTGATGAATCTACAGGATCTGTTTGTGATGATGGTGTCATGGGGACACAAGTGTGAATGACACTGGTACCAAACTCCTAAAATAGTGCTTGGGAGGCCAATGTCCTTAGCAGGAAGGGGTGTGGAACTATGAAGAGATGTGAGCCCCACATGGGGAGCAGGATGGAGTCAGGAGTCAGATAGGTGGAAATAGCCTGGAGTTTTGGGTTTTGCAGTTCTGTCCCTCTGCCTCTGATCCCCCCAGCTGAGTCAGCATAGACAGAGAATATGCTGGGACTTATCTTGTGGCCTGTGCTACCCACTGGCTCCTCCTATGTAAGGAGCAAGTCCTAGTGCAGGGCTCAGTAGAGGCCCCACCCTAGCAGGGGTCATTGCCTCATGACAGAGCCTTATGGGCCAGCTGCTGTGACTGATTTCTGTGACCTTTTCTTTTGTTCAGGAGGGTGGGTCTAGCCCCAGGTGTTAGTGACAGGAAGCTGGATCATCAGCCATGAGCCTGGGGGAAAGAATGCAGCAATCTGTGTAGTACAGGAGCTGAAGTGACCAGAAGATTTGGACAGAGAAAGAGCTGAGAGAGCCAGAAATGGCCATGGCAGGGAGCAGTGCAGTTTCAGTGACATCACAATCCCCAGAGACCAAGAGACTCATAGCTGCCTCTGAACCAATCAGAGCACTCCTGCAAGGCTTCTCACAGCCCAGCAGTTCCAGCATCATTATGTGAGATGGCTCATGGGGTCGCCTCAGGAGCAGGGGATCACAGGAAGAGAAAAAGTACCTCAGCCTGTGAACAGGACAGGAAGCTACTGTGGCTAGAAACTTTCAGGATGCTGTGTGGAAATCCCAGTCTCTGAAAGTGTCTAGGTTATTCACTGATTGCTTATTTTTCCTCTCATTCATCACAATACTGTTGACTTGGCTGTGAATCTTGGGCATGTTGGTTTCACGATCCAGTGCAGAGAAAGAGAGCAGAGCCATCTCTTTTATACTCCAGGAAAGCGATCCTCAACACGTCAGGAAGATAGGACTCTCTAAGTTTAATGAGGGTGGCTGTGGGTTGGTCTCCTGAGCACAGAGCGCTGAACATTGCATTGAAGCAGGTGATTTAATTCTAGAGTAAAAATTGATTAACTCTATATTTGATATCATTAGTCTAACCAGACTCTGTATGAGCTGGTGATGATTAAGTTTTAAGAAACATGAATCAACAGCTGGAGTCGGGTTCACAGACATCTAAGAAATCTTCCATATTGGAGATCACAAGGCTGTGTTTTTGGGCATAGATAGGTAATGCCTCTGAGATGCTATCCCTGGTGTGTGTGACCTTGGTCCAGAAAATGTATTTTGTTGTGCATTCGTCTGTCAGTTATAGGATGCACAGGAAATGGTATCTGGTTTGCACGTTGTGGGTAAATTAATCTGAAATAGTCACATTTATGTGTCATTGGCATACAGTAGTTGCTGATTAGGCATGTATTACTCGTAGAATGAATTGGAGCAGTTCAAATTGGAAAGGGAAATTGAGAAGTCTCATTCTCCTGTGTTCTTGCCCTTAGGAACACTGAGCTTCCTGTGGATTCTCACAAGTCAGTCAAGTTAGTTAATGGCTTCAGGCACCTGCGTACCTGTGCTATCTATGCCAAGTCTTAGAGAAAGGAAGGCCCAGGTACCCATACGTGGGACTTGTGTTTGTGCACTTTCTGCTCTAGACACCAACTGTAGAGAAGTATGAGATTCAGACAGCCACTGAATTACTGCCTGCCATCATTCCTAAACAGTGGGTCACACTACCTCTGAGCCCAAGATCCACGGGATCACCCTGGTGATGGTCTTGGGACAGAGATCTGAAGCAAGGGATTGAAGTGTCCTTCAGGTCAAACCCTGCATGAGATCCTCAAAGTCACATAAAAAGGAAGTGACTTTGAGGATAGATTGAGAGGCTCTCCTTGGGTCAAGTTATTCCACCCAATTCTCCTTGCTTCTGCAAAGTGGATTCAGGTAAAGATTGCAGCCTATTAAAGGTCATCTCCTCTGTATGCCTCCTGCACTATGGGATCAAAGCCCAGCATGGGGATGCAGTGTTGTAGGGTTGGGGCACCACCCAGGACTGACAGTTTTCTGTGTGTATGAAGTGAAATTAACCCCATCCCACATCCAAGGTCAGGGAGAACAACTCACAGGTTATACGGATCTCTGCAGACAGCTCAGCATACAAACCATTTTGCGACATGATTCGTACGGTGTAGATTACTAGGTCGCCTCGGTTGACATTCTGGATCAGCAGGGATCCATTGGGGTACATTGTCTCTCGACCACTGTATGAGTCCCCTGTATTGAACTCATTAGTTTCTCTGGTATATGTCATAATCAATGTGGCAGGCGAAATCGATCCCCCACTGTACCAACTATACTCTGTAGGTTCCACTGTCACATTGTAGAGTCGTAGAAGAACATTTCCCCCTATATTAATATCACCAGGCAGTATTTCAATAGCTGGTTGGGCAGTGGTAGTGGGGCTCCAGAAGGTCAAAAGTGATGCTAGAAGAGAGAGACAGAGAGAAATTCATCAAAGTGGAAACTGTTGGATGGAAAGATGGAGCCCTGAGTCCTGAGATGTTTTCATTGCTTAGTTTGACTGTTGCAGGCATGCGTGTCTCTTACTAAGCTATGGTCAGCAGTGGGACTTCGCTCCTTCCTTGCCCTTGAACTTGTCATTCCCTCTGTGTGGAACACTCTCCCCCAGGGGTCTGCATGGCTCACTGATCACTTCCCTCAGACCCTGCTCCCATTGAGGGCAGCTTGGAGACGCCTGTCCTGATCCCTCATACAGAGATCTGGTTCTTCGATTTCTCACCTTTTCCTGCTTTCTTCACTCAGTGGCTCTTGTCAACACCTGATTTCCCCTTCTAGATGTCTCTATTTGATCAGTTTTCTTCCCTCTGGGACAAACGCTCAGTGAGCACAGGGCGCTGTCTGATTGTTTTGGATCCAAGGGTCTGGAACAACCTCAGATACCATAGAAGAATAGCGATGGCTCTGAGAGCCCTGTGTGCCCAGGGGTTTGTTTGCAGTTTCGGGGGGGGGGGGGGTGCGTGAGCACAATGCTTCATACCCCAGGTGTGATTTTATTGGAGTCACTCTGACTCTGTTGTTGACATCAATAATCAAAATATAGTGGCCTGACAGGTTTTGTTGCTGATGTCCTAAATCCTGAGCAGGGCAGGCTGAGCAGGGATCACTGGGAGATCAATTCCAGCTTGGGCTACATGGATAGTTCAAAGGTAGCCTGAACTGCATAGTGAGCCCATGTGTCGATGAAAAAAAGAAATGTGGCCAGTGATTATTAACTTGTAACAGAGAAAAATGGAGCTTTGCTTCCTCCTTATTTAATACCCATGCACTGCAAGTTTCCTGTTCCTCAGGCTTCTGATCCTCTTTTGTGTTCTCTCCCCTCCTGCTCCAAACAGAAACCTCTGTCATCTCAGACTCCCAGTTTATCAGCAGACCCAGTGAGTATTTAGGGGTCCACCCTCTGGTATATCCTCCCAGGGACTGTCCCCTCTCACCTGTAAAAAGGAGCCCCTGCCAGGGAACAAACCCTCTGTGGAACGTGGCTGTGTGGGACTCCATGGTCTCTGCTGCCTGCTTTGTCCTCTGTCTGTGGAGAAGAGCTTTGGCTCAAACATAGACTCCCAAGCAGGCTGCTCAGGAGGGTCATCTCTACTGTGCTGTCTCCCTCTGAGCTGAGCCTCCTCCCAGGGAAAGGGCAGGCTTCAGAGTCATGTGATGTGGGGGTGGACTCCATGTCTAGAAAGCCTGGTTCCCTCTTTCCCATTGGGTCCATCCTTCCCTGTATATTCCCCATTTTCTGTACGAAATTACATTACCACGGACCACACTTTGGGTCCAAGACTCTTGGGGACTCTGTCACCCAAGACGAGAACTGGTTCAACTCCTTACTGGCCTCTGCACTGTCCTGACTTTGAGGATATCTACAGCCTCGAAATTCCCTGGTGTTCCCAAATCCAGAGCTGTGTTTCCCTATGATACACAGAAATCCAGTTGAGCATCAGTCCTCCCCTGGATTTTTGTGCATTCTGGGAAGGTAGAATGTACTGCCTGGAGAGAGATGACAGAGATATCTCTACGGGACAGAAAGGGACCAGCTGAGTGATGAATGGTGAGTGGTGAGGGGGACTTACCCTGTGTCTCTGGTGTCACCAGGTGGTCTCTGATCAAAGTTTCAGGAGGAGCTGAAGTTCTGGGTGGGCAGGGATGGAAATGACCTGCATGTCCTGTGAAGGAAGAAGTCTGGTGGGATAAGTGGCTGTGGGCAACATGGTGTCAGTGGCAGATTTCTCGCAAAGTGCTCCTCTCGACAAGTCTGTGCTGCAGTGTGATCTGTATCCTCCCTGAGTGAGTTGCTAGCTCTGTGTCCTCTGGCCTGCTCAGTCACCTGTGCTCACACCTTCTCTGATCCCAAGGGTGCTGCCAGGAATGAGGGGCCATGCTGAGACTCTTGACATAAATGGATCCTCAGAGTTCCAGAAAGGAATGGTTGGAACAAACCAGATATGTTGGAGGGACCCAGAAGTGCCCTTGGGGCTATGGATGGCAATCAGCCTGCATCTGCTCCCAAGCCTAAGCTAATTTCACTTTCCAAGAATGGTTTGCCTGAGTGTGAACTGTGTATGCTGATGTCTCCCCCTGGAGATCATGAGGGACTCATTGCCAGTGTTAGGGACTGTGGCAGGGATGTTGACCATGCTCTAACTGGCTCTCACTGAATGTTAAATAACTCCTCCCTCTATTAAACTATTTTGATATACTTGTCAGAGATCATGTGAGCAATTGTCAGGGATTATTCTCACAATCTACCCAGATAATTTGTGAATCTTCATGCAAGTCCCATGTCATTTTATTACTGTAGCACTGCAGTGAGTTCTTATGTTGTTTTCTATGTAAGAGTCATAGATACCTCTGAGTCACATTTTTGTTGAAATCCATAGAAAGATCGATTCATTTCTAAAGTAGTGAGGTCACTGTATACGCCTGGTCTGGAACTCCTGGTGTCAGGTAATTGACCCCCCACCCCCCACACACACACTCCATTAGGCTTCAGGACATCAGTGAGTCTGAGCCAGGCTGGGTTTTGCCCTCCAGGGCCATTTGGCAGTGTCTGTTGACAGCTGTGATTGTCACACCTGAGGGAGGGAATGCTCCTTGTCTTACTGGGCAGAATCCCCTGATGTTGCTAAACATGCCACAAAGCACAGGTAACCGCACAAGTTTGAGCAGCCCCAAATGTCAGTGGAAACTGAAGAGTGCCCTGCACCCTTCCCTGCCTACCTAGAAGCTTCCCTCACCTGGCTTCTTCCCATTCTTCCCTTAGCCCAGCTACCTCATCCCCTCTCCCTCATTTGACTTGCATTCTCTGCACCTGCCCTTTGTCCAAGCCCAGCTTCACCTCTCCCCTCCCCTGGCCCTTTTGTACCTCTGGAAGGACGCGTCCACTAGAGGGCTCAATGCTGTGCCCTAAGCTCCTGTGACCCTGGCCTTCCCAGAGACAAAGGCAGCTGCCCCGCCCCATTCCTCACAAAGTCTCCAGGGTGAAGCCTTTGGGTCAGTTGCTAGGGAGCCAGGTTGGAAGCTCCCTGGAGGAGGCTGTGGCATGGACTGGTGGCACAGGACCAATGCCAGGGTGTGCATTGCTGTGGGAGTGTAGGCTCTTGATATATTGGGTTGACTGCTAAGGGCCAGAAGTCCTCTTGTGACCACCAGGGACAATGACTGGGCGTTTCTGTCTTGAAAGGCTTTCTCCTAGGATGTGTCTGTGTGCCCCGGCAGGGCTGTTGTGGATTCATCTAGACTGGACCTTCTGTGGATTCCTCCATGCATGGGGTCCTCTGTCACGTGGACAAATCAGGAGTAATGGGGCAGTCGCTGGGGCAGGTCTCCTTATGGCCTGTGGGGCAACTCTGCAACACATGGTCCACACTCAGAAAAGGACTTCCCTGAATGTGAGCTTCGCTTGCACTCAGGAGGTAGAGATGCAGCCTGATTACCATCCCTTACCCCAGAAACCCTCCCAGGGACCTCTCATGTCTTGCCTACTTCTTCCTGCATGTCTGAGGACCCTGGCTTGTCAGGGGTGCTTATGTAGCCTGCACACTTTTGCAATGACCCATAAATTAAGGGGATGGGGTGACCACAGTAGAGTGAGAAAGGAAGTGGGGAGAGTACATCCAGGGAGGACATAGACAGGCCCAACGTATAGTTCAGTCCATGCACATAGAGATTGAAGGTGTCCCTGAAACCTTACCCTACAGATGGCATTGCCCCCAGTCACATCGTCTACCACCTCAGTCCTTCCTGTCTCTAAATCCTTGGACCTGAAGGTTTATATTTTAAGTATAGATTAGTAGTTGAGTATTTAAGGAGGATGTGTTTTTATTTATTTTGTTTCTTGTTTGTCCTTTTGAGACAGCATTTCTCTATGCAGTTCAGGCTGGCCAGGGGCCTGCAGTGATCCTCCTACTTCAGCCTCCTAAATGGGGGATGATGGGATGCACCATCTCACCTTGCCACCTTGTATATGTTTCTGTACATCTTCCTCAAATATTTTTATTGGGTGGTAATGGAGATTGAACTCAGAGCTTTTGCACTGAGTTACATCCCCAGCCCATTCTCAATTTTGAGGTATCGTTGCCTCATGTTTCTTAGACTCAGCTCAAAGTTGAGGTCCTCCTGTCCTGGCCTTCTACATGGTTGAGATTACAGGTGTGTGTCACCTGGCATTGCAGAGACTGTAAAACATCACTGCAAATGATAGATGACCAACATGTGCTGTCTTAAACATTTTAAGAATATAAATAAATGCCCCTAATTATAGTCATTTTACAACAATTGCTGCAATACCCAGAATTTCTCATATCTGAACTGGAAGTCTAGCTATTAATGAGTAACTCCTCATTCCTTTTCATCCAGCACCTGGTAGCCTGTAGGCTACTGAATTTGCCTCTGGGAATTGTCCTATTCTAGGTATTTCATATAAATTAAACTATATAAACAGGTGCCATTGTCGTTCTTGCTTCTTTTCAGGTTTCCCCACGTTGGAGCTGGCATTGGAACTTTGTTTTTCATGGCTAACATTCAAGTGCATTTATGCACCGCACTTATTTAGGTTTTCATCCATTTGGCACACTTAGGGTGTTTCCCCAAGTTGCCTGTGGCAAAGGCTGCTGTGGACCGTGTTACCATGCAGGAAACTATTTGAATCCCTGTTGCATTCTCCCTGAACACCCTGGTGAGCTGCTGACCACATGACCTGACAGCTAGGCTCTGTTTTCTACAGTGGCTACTATTCCTTTAAGGAATGTGTGAGGCTTCCAGTTCCTGAGGTTTCTCTAACACTCTTTGTTTAACTTTGTGGTAAACCATTACAGTAGTGAATGGTAGATGTGGAGCTGTTTTCATTTGCATTCCCTTAACGAGTCATTATATTGAGCATCTTTTTTTAAATTTTTATTTTGAAAAGAAAAAAACCAAATGAGAAAAAAGGAAAATAGGGTCATTCAAGACAAAAGCATGGACATAGTACATGAATTAAAACCACTATACATGGTGATCTACAATGGTTACCATGATGTCTCTTGTTATCTTCAGTAGAACCGTATATATCATCAGGCACAATAAAATTGAGCATAGCAGTACAGAACAACGCCAGTAAAAAGCAAACATTCGAGACATTATAGGGCTTCAAAAGAGAGTAATACTCAAACCAAAATTGGTATCATAGTGAATCTCATTGTCTTCAGAGTAATTGCCTATACTGTCAGACTTGAAACTATCAAACATAACAGATTCGAATAAAATCAGTCAGGACAAGAGAGCGATCAAACAAAACAGATTCAAATAAAAACAGTCAAAACAGGACAGTGAAAGCAATGCAGGGCTTCAAATTAATAGGAAATAAAAATGGTTAACATAGTATATCTTGCTATCTTTGGAATAGCTGTCAATGCCATCAAATCTAGTACAAACAGATAAACTGGAACAGAATATAACCAAACTAAACAGAGTGATGAAAACAATGTGGGTTTCAAATCCTGACACAAGATTAACAATGGCCACTGCCTCATTTTTAGACAATTCCTCCCCTTTCACTTTCACAGGGTACCTTGTACATTTTGTATCCCACTAATTCCTTTAGTTTTTAAATTATGGATGCCTCCTGCTATTTCAGTGGTTTTCAACCTTTTTACCCCTGAGCTTGATCTCAAGTTGTATCCATTTACCTACAAAAGCCTCAAGGGTTTCCTTCCTTATAGCTGAGTAGCTTTCCATTGTATAAAAATGTTATGTCTTTCTAATCAATCTGCAGCTGAAGGGTGAGCTACCCCCACTTTTTTCTGGTGCCCTGTCACATAGAGCATTCTTTTCTCATCTTTGACTTTCAATCTATACACCCTCTTTCAGGTTAAATATATTTCTTATATAGAGCATCTTGATGGACCCTCACTCCTGATCCACTCTGCCCGTTTTTCTTTTTATTAGTGTATCGAGGCCATCTATGTTAGTGATTATGGCTAACGTTCTCTGCCTCATCTCAGTCATGCTATTGTTCTCTGTTGGTTGTCTACTTTTCCACTTCATTCCACTGTCTGCCCAGTTCAGTGAGCCCCCGTTACCACTGTTCCTGAAACCATGGTCTTTCTCTCTCTCTCTAGAAGGTCATTAAGTATTTTTTGTAGGATTGGATTGATGGTCATGAGCTCCCCTAATTCCTCTTTTTCATGGAAGCATCTTGTTTCTCCATTAACTTTGAGAGACAGTTTTTCAGGGTATGTCATTCTGGGTTGAAGGTTATTTTCTTTAAGGGCTTGGAATACTTCCCTCCAAGCTCTTCTTGATTTGATTGATTGTGTTTAGAAGTCTGTCATGATTCTGATGGGCTTTCCTTTATAGGTGATCTGGGTCTTTACCCTGAGAACTTTTAATATTGTGTTTTTGTGTTGAATTTCTGGGATCTTGATTATTATATGTCTGAGTGTAGAACTATTTTGGTTGTAGCTGGCTGGAGTTTGGAATGCCTCATATATCTGAAGATCATTTCCTTTAATGCTTGGAATGTTTTCTTTAACTATTTCTGTAAATAGCTTTCGTATTCCATTTGTGTAAACCCTGCTTCTTCATTCACATTTTTTATTCTTAAGTTATAGATCCTCTTGTAATTTGCTAGCTTTTGTATTGTTCCTTCCTGGTTCATTGTTATTTTTAAGAGACTTTTCCCTTTGAGATCACAAGTTGCAAATCTGTCGTCAAGGTTTGATAGTGAATCTTCAGTTTCTTTCAAGCAGTTTTGCCAGCTTTCAATGGAGTTTTTAATTTCCTAGTAGTCTCTGAATCTGTTTCATGAATTCCAGATTTTTAAAAATATTTTTCACCTAAGGTTTCCCTCCTTTTTCTTTGCTCCCCATTCTTCCATCTGTGTCTTCTTGAGAGATAGCTAGCATCTCTTTTATTACTTTTCTTATATATCTTCTTTTACTTGTATTAGTATTTCTGTTTTGAGTTGTTCTATAATGTCATGAACATATTTCTTTATGTCAGATGCTTCTTTTTCAGAAACTGCAGGTGTGCGGCTCCCGATCTCATCTGTGTTCACCTCTCCTGGGTCAGTACTGCTTGGGTTGGAGACCGGAGACTGCCATTTGTTTCTTCCTCTTGTCATGTTTCTGGTTTCTTCCAGGCAAGTGCATAGTGGGGTCTCCACCCTTCCTGTATTCGTTATAAACAGTCTGATGTGTGCTGGCTAGGGATTGCTGCTTTCCCTAATCTGCTGGTCACTACTGTAGTAGAAGCAGGGGCAGCGCAGGCTGGACCCTCCCTTCTGAACTGGTTAACCACAAAGAGTCTTCACCACCTTAGTTTGTGCCCCACGGGTGGGATTGTTTAAGGATAGCTTTAGGGAAACCTTGGCCTTCGCTATTGGATCATGCACGGGGCAAAATTCATTCCAAGCAATTTCCACCAATTTTCTCTGTGCTATGAGTGGCTGAATAAATCTGGCTACAGTTCTGGTCCCAGGATTTTCCTTCCATACTCCAAAATGGCATCTGGCCAATTTCCCACTCCCACAGGAGGACTGAGTCCTCCACCCTCGCTGTCAGCCAGTGTGGTTCTCAAGACTGCTGCTCCCCTCTTCGACTGTGTCTTCCCACTGAGGCCTCCAGGCTTGCCAACCTCCAGCTTCACTGTGACTGTGCATCTCTCGATTCCAGTGGCACTTTGCACATATGGGACCTCGTCTGGTGAAACTGCATCTGGCTACCATCTTCTGTTTAATTTTTTCTTGTCTTCTCTCTCTGGGCTTCAATTCTTACTTTAGTTTCTTCCCCTTTAGTCAAGGGGATGCATTTCTTTCCTTCTGATCTTCTCCAGAATGCTATATTCCAGC